ACACACACACACACACACACACACACACACAGACACTCACAGACACACATTCGTATGAAAAATGTAAATCACCAAACCCCAATATGAAAATCAGGTCTGCTACACACAGAAACAAATATCAGCAGTCACCAACATCACATCACTTTTGTATTATAATTTACATAGAAAGAAAGAGTAGAAAACAAATGAGTCAGATGAGTGCTCCCACCCCCCGGTTTGTAACATGCAATTAAGTGCACAAAGTACGTTATGAACATTATAAACATACACACAGTAACCTTTACATATACACCCCAGTAAACATGTACTGTACAGGAGGTAAGAATTGAAGTTGCTTTTCACATCTCCACCGACCAGCCTGAGGGTTCCAGTATATAAAGGTCACTGCACCTCACATCAATGGACTGAGTAAGGAGAGAAAAACAAGCAGGAGGGAAGGAAGGAGGAGGAGGATAAATAAAACAGCTGGAAACATGTATTAGTGTGTGAACTGGACTCTGTTCACGTCAGATGGCTTATCTGCCCCCCAGTGCAAGAGTGTATGCATATAATGTGCATGCATACGCTGCTGTAACTCATTGGAGCCACATTCCTCTATCCCAGACTATTACTGTATGTAAATCACCCCTTGCTCTCATGAATGACTCTTTGTCCAGTAACAGCTTCACTAATTGGAGCAAACACACTTTTCTGTGGTCCACAGCTGATTATTTATATGTGCAGTGAGCGAAGCTGATGTAGAGTGACCTTAGATATGAATTTTCGAGAATCTGCTCTGGCTGGTAACAAATCAAAGCCGAGTTGTCTGATGTTTGTCAGTGAACAGAAGCCATTAAGTCACACCCTGAGGAGCCTAATTGACTTATGAGACAATAAAAGTGGCCATCGACCACACGGTACACGGAGAGTTGAATGGAATTGAACAGGGCAGGTTTTTTGCAGTCACGCTGGTTGCTCACAGCAGCGGTCGCTGTGCACTCACTGCTTACAAATAAGGCACTTCTTTGTCATACCACATCCACAGCATGAGGAGGCCTCATCCCTGAAGTGATGTTGATGTTCCTCTGCATGTGGTTAATTCTCATCGCTGGCTCTTGAGGCCGTGATTCAATTTTTTTTGAGAGGACGGGAAGTGGCGCAAACGGGCACTGTTCCCAGCAACAGGAACAAAGCAGAATCCAGCGTGTCTAGAAATGTCTGCTTGATACAAGAGATCAATGCAGCAGGGATAAGGACACTCCTTG